ATTTTTTGTAGTTTTAGTAGAGACGGGGTTTCACCGTGTTGACCAGGATGGTCTCGATCTCTTGACCTCGTGATCCACCCGCCTCGGCCTCCCAATATATATATAATCTTATATATCTTATACATTAGTAAACTTCCTTTTGATTTTGCTTCTGTGGTCTAAGAGAGACTCCTTGGCATTTATTTTCAGAAATCAAACGAGAGCATCCTCTTGCTGTTCATCTTAATATAAACATATTGTCTTAGTAACCTTAATCAACAGCCTAATAATCTCTTCATGGTTAGGGGGTGACAAAAATCAAAGCAAATGGCACATTATTTAGTGTTGGGCATTTGTCACTTTAGAAGGACCACTGTAACTTCTTGGGATGCAGCTGACAGTGTTCTTTCCCCTCTTCTTATGCCACGTGATTGACAGAAATCCAGTAGCCCCAGCACCAGATCCACGTCTACCACCCCAGAGCTGCCTTCTGCTCCCCCCAACTCCAGTTCGAGGTGGACAGAAAGCTGTTGTGAGCAGAAAAACCAACATGCACATATTTATTGAGTCCGGGCTTCGGGTAAGATAACCTTAAAATGAGACTTGCTTCCTTCAGGGAGTCTGCATCTTTTAATCTTCTGTCGAATTTCTAGTATTCTTCTCTTCCATTGGAAATGCCTTAACTATAAATATTTTTAGATTTTTTTTTTTTAACAGACGCGTTGGTCCTTTTACTATTTATCTCTTCCAGCACTTACATTGAAGATGTAACTGTCCCAGAATTAATGATTCTTCTCAAATATTTATTAAGTTCTTACTGGTGCTTTGCTCATGAGCCCTTCTGAACTACTTTTTTTCTTTTTTGAGATCAAATCTCGCTCTGTCACCAGGCTGGAGTGCAGTGGCGTGATCTCTGCTCACTGCAACCTCCAACTCCCTGGTTCAAGCAATTCTCCTGCCTCAGCCTCCTGAGTAGCTGGGATTACAGACAAGTGCCACTACATTTAGCTAATTTTTGTATTTTCAGTAGAGACGCTGTTTCACCATGTTGGCTAGGATGGCCTTGATCTTCTGACCTCGTGATCCACCCGCCTCAGCCTCCTAAAGTGCTGGGATTATAGACGCCTCTGACCTACTTTGAATTTTTTTAAAAGATGGTGTGTGGCCAGACATGGTGGCTAACACCCATAATCCCAGCACTTTGGGAGGCTAAGGCTGGAAGATCACTTGAGGATAGGAGTCTGAAACCAGCCTGGGCAACATAACGAGACTCCATCTCTACAAAAAAAAAAAAAAATATTTTTTAATTAGCCAGGCATGATGGCATGCACCTTTAATCACCTGTAGTCCTAGCTACTCAGGAGGCTGAGGTGAGAGAATTGCTTGAGCCTAGGAGTTTGAGGCTGTGGTGAGCTATGATTGCACCACTGCACTCCAGCGTGGACAACAGAGTGAGACCCTGTCTCTAAATAAAATTAAAACATGGTGAGCTTTCAAAAGCACGGATTTAATCATTTCCTTTAAAAAATCCTTCATTGACTCTCATTTTTCTAACATATATTCCAGCCACACTAGCTTCCATTCCCATCTAGAACGTCACCATACTCTTTCCTGCCCTAAGAACTCACCACCTACTCGTTGCTCTACCAGATTCCCACACAACTCTCAAAGCACCCTGTACACATCATCATTTCCTTAGAGTCTGGCTAAGATCCATCAGAACAGAGGCCATGTCCATCCTGGTTATTGCCATGTCCTGTGTACTAAGCCAGTGCCTGGAATCACAGTAGAAGCTGAGAAAATGGACTCTAGTGAATGGACTTAGTGTCCATTCACTACACAGCAAGCTCTCACCTTGACTTACTGAGACCCTCCCAGGCAGTTTGTCATTCCTTAAAAACTTTTTATCGTTTCAGATAGAAATATCTTAACATTTCTTGCTTGTCTCTTAAAATCATTTCACATTTACTTAACTCATCTGGTCTAATGGGCAACTAATGTAAAATATCTTTTTGAAATCTCTCAGCTGCTGCATCTGAGTCTGAAGACTTCGAAGATCAAGTCTTCAAGTGAACATGTCCTGGAAATGCTGGATCCTTTTGTATCTCTCCTCATAGACTGCTTGGGCTCCATGGATGTGAAGGTGAGCATCGGTTTACACTCTGCATTGGAGCGTTTGTTCCTTCAGAAGAACTATGTTGTGCAGAATACCTAATGCTTATTCTTGGGCTCAAGCTTTATGAGATAATTGAGGTTTTGTTTGTTTGGTTGTTGTTTTGTTTTTGTTTTTGTTTTTTTGAGACAGAGTCTTGCTCTGTCAGGCTAGAGTGTGATCTCAACTCATTGCAACCTCCACCTTCCAGGTTCAAGGGATTCTTCTGCCTCAGCCTCCCAAGTAACTGGGATTACAGATGCACACCACCATGCCTGACTAACTTTTGTATTTTGTTTGTTTGTTTGTTTGGTTGGTTGGTTTTGTTTTGAGACAGAGTTTCACTCTGGTTACCCAGGCTGGAGTGCAATGGCACAATCTCGGCTCACCGCAACCTCTGCCTCCTGGGTTCAGGCAATTCTCCTGCCTCAGCTTCCCGAGTAGCTGGGACTACAGGCATGCGCCACCATGCCCAGCTAATATTTGTATTTTTAGTAGAGATGGGGTTTCACCATGTTGACCAGGATGGTCTCGATCTCTTGACCTTGTGATCCACCCACCTCGGCCTCCCAAAGTGCTGGGATTACAGGCGTGAGCCACCGCCCCCGGCCACTTTTGTATTTTTAGTAGAGATGGGGTTTCATCATTTTGGCCAGGGTGGTCTCAAACCCCTGACATCAGGTGATCCGCCCATCTCAGCCTCCTAAAGTGAGCCACTGTGCCTGAACGAGATGATTGAGTTTTAAAGAGATTTATGCTACATTAAATCACTTCCCTATTTACTAATTCTATTTGTTTGGATAGTCTTTAACAGTTTTTAAATCCTCCTAGTTACATGATTTCTTTTTTCTATGTTGCCAGCCTGGAGTACAGTGACACAATCTCGGCTCACTCCACCTCCACCTCCTGGCTTCAAGTGATTCTCCTGCCTCAGCCTCCCGAGTAGCTAGGACTAACAGGCACGCACCATCATGCCAAGCTAAGTTTTGTATTTTTAGTAGAGGCGGGGTTTCTTCATGTTGGCCAGGATGGTCTTAATCTCTTGACCTCGTGATCCGCCTGCCTCCGCCTCTCAAAGTGCTGGAATTACAGGAATAAGCCACCATGCCCAGCCCATTAAGTATTTCATTTAATCCTCAAAGCTATGTGAGGGTGAATGATTTTGTCCCTTACCAATCATCATCATCATCACCTTTGTCACTACTGCTGCTCCGTGCTATGAATCCCAAGAGCATTATCTCTGATCCCCACAACCACCCCTGAGCTATATGTTCTTACTATTTCTGCTTTATAAATGAGAAAATTAGGGCTAGGGCCTAGGTACAGATCCAGGCTATGAACCTAGGTCTGTCAGACTCCATTGCCTACACATGTCCCATTTTTCTCATATCACCTACTTTACAGATGGTGTCAAGAGGTTAAGTAACATCTCTGGAGTCAAAAAGGTAATCAGTTGCAGAGCTAGGATGTAAGCCGAGGTCTTTCCAACTCCCAAGCTCGCTTTTCTATGCCTTAATCTAGCCATGAGGCGTTCTCAGCAGCCAGAACAGCGAGGGTATTATTAGATAGAGCTGACCTTGCCAGGTGTGGTGGCTCTCGCCTGTAATCCCTGCACTTTGGGAGGCCAAGGCAGGTGGATCACGAGGTCAGGGGTTTGAGAACAGCCTGGCCAACATGGTGAAATCTCGTCTCTACTAAAAATACAAAAATTAGTTGGGTGTGGTGGGGTGCACCTGTGGTCTCAGCTACTTGGGAGGCTGAGGCAGGAGAATTGCTTGAACTGGGAAGACAGAGACTACAATGAGCCTAGACCGCACCATTGCACTCCAGCCTGGGTGACAGTGTAAGACTCCGTCTGAAAAAAAAAAAAAAAAAAAAAAAAAATTCATTGTTTTTATGATTAATATCTGAGTTAACCGTCTGCTGCATAAATGCAGAGAAGGTATCAAAATTTTATCTTTGTATTTATAATACCTAGTAGAGTGCTTTGCATACCTAATTCAAGCTTAGTAAGAGTAGATTACATTGAAGTACTATTCTAGAAAACAGAAAAGCCATTTAAAATGTATTTTTCAAAAACAAATTGTAAAATTGACCAACCTATCCAAATCGTATAACCTCTATAAACTCCTATAAATAGGTTAAGAATGTGGCCAGGCATGTTGGCTCATGCGTCTGATCCCAGCACTGGGGAGGCTGAGGCAGGAGGATTGCTTGAGCCCAGGAGTTCAAGACCAGCCCTGGCAACCTAGTGAGACCTTGTCTATTTAAAAAAAATAAAACGTTTAAACAAAGATAAAATTAAATTATAAAAAGAATATGGTGCCTTTTTGTATTTCTTTATGACCTACCTTCATTTGTTATGGATAAGCAAATTCTTCTACAACCAGGAATTGGAAATTCATTTTGGGCACAGTTCTTCCAGAGTGGGCTGGGCTCAGCATCTTATTTGTCTAGCACAGTCATTTTAAAAGTCTGCATAGGCTGGGCGCAGTGGCTCACGCCTATAATCCCAGCACTTTGGGAGGCCTAGGTGGGTGGATCACGAGGTCAAGAGATCGAGACCATCCTGGTCAACATGGTGAAACCCTGTCTCTACTAAAAATACAAAAATTAGCTGGGCGTGGTGGCGCATGCCTGTAGTCCCAGCTACTCAGGAGGCGGAGGTTGTGGTGAGCTAAGATCGCGCCATTGCACTCCAGCCTGGGTAACAAGAGTGAAACTCCATCTCAAAAAAAAAAAAAAAAGAAAAAAAGAAAAGAAAAAGAGTCTGCATAGCCTCGGTTGCTGGATTGTTGGATTCAGTCATGTCACAAGCTGGTGATTTTTTTTTTTTTTTCAGGTGATCACAGGTGCTTTACAATGCCTGATTTGGGTCTTGAGGTTCCCGCTGCCTTCCATAGAAACAAAAGCAGAGCAGCTGACAAAACACCTCTTCCTTCTGCTGAAGGACTATGCAAAGCTCGGGGCTGCCAGGGGCCAGAACTTCCACCTGGTGGTTAATTGTTTCAAGGTGAGATGTCCTCACTTGCACTTGGAAAAAGCCAGGGTGGAGCCAGGTGCAGTGGCTCACACCTGTAATCCCAGCACTTTGGGAGGCTGAGGTGGAAGGATTGCTTGAGCCTAAGAGTTCAAAACCAGCTTGGTCAACATAACAAGACCCCATTTGTACATTAAAAAAATATTAAAAAATTAGTTGGGCATGGTGATGTGTACCTGTAGTCCCAGCTACTTGGGAGGCTGAGGCTGCCGTGAGCTATGATCACTGCACTCCATCACTGCACTCCAGCCTGGGTGACAGAGCAAGACCCTGACCCAAAAGCCAAAACCAAGATTAATATCAAAACTTAGTTGCCCTTTGTGGTTATGGATAAAATTTTTTCTGGAGTAATTTGCTAAGGCTGGAGGGCTGGAACCCTGCGTGGAAAAGTATAGTGTGTGTTGTGTTAAGTCCTTGTCATTTTCCTGGACCCCAATTGTGGAATGTGCTGGCTGTGAACATCACTATTGTAACTTGCAGTGTGTGACCATACTTGTCAAGAAAGTCAAGTCTTACCAGATAACTGAAAAACAGCTCCAAGTTCTACTGGCCTATGCTGAGGAGGACATTTATGATACTTCAAGACAAGCCACGGCCTTTGGTCTTCTGAAGGTATGGTGTCACCAGAATGTTGACCGTTTCAGTTTACGAGCTTCACAGCAGATATTTTGAACGCACAGAACATGGCGTTTTGACTAGCTGTAGACTTCGGAAATTAAGTAATTTGTCAAGATTGTTATGATTTTGGTGGGTCAATTACAAGCGAACATTTGCTTATGAAAAATGTTTAAATGTGAGCCCTGTCTTAACATTTCCAGGGAATTCTGTACAAATACAGGTATTCTCTTTTTATTTATATGTTTTTTTTTTCTTAGTGTGGTAAAATGTACATAACATAAAACTCACCATTTTTACCAATTTGAAGTGTATGTTTAAGTGTTGTGTTCTTTGTGCTTAAGTGTGTCTTGAAGATACTTTATTGTGTTTGAAAATTTCCTGTGATTGCATTAGCACCAAGTCTGCTTCCATCCATCTGCAACAAAACACATAAAATAAGTATGTCTTTTCCTTTTGTATTTTAGGCAATTTTATCAAGAAAGCTGTTGGTCCCAGAAATCGATGATGTCATGCGGAAAGTATCCAAGTTGGCAGTCTCTGCACAAAGTGAACCTGCCAGAGTCCAGTGCCGACAGGTTTGTAGAGAGCACTTATTCCCATAGCAAGGGCTGGGCCCTGCCGCATCTGTGTGGCAGAGGTATCAGCACTGGATAAATTCTGAAAACTACCTTGTGTCATATTGTTGCTTTATGCTGAGACTCGGGCATCCTGGTGTAGGGGTTGGGGAGGCTTTTCTGGAGACTGACAGGCAGGCCAAAATTTGAAGGAAGAAGAAGGCTTAGCTTTCCAGGTGAGGGGGCAGTAGAGGTGAGTGAGAGCTTAGCTCGGTTGAGGAGCTCAACACAGGTGAGTTGAGGGGTGAGGACCCAGGTTGGACAGGACCTTGTGGTCTTGTTAAAGATTTGGGGCTTTGTTCTAAGTATGGTAAGGAGCTATTTAAATCCTTAGGCAGAGGAGTGACAGCATCAGGTTTGTAGCTCTACATCTGTCAATCTCTAATTTTATGAGCACATACTATGCCCAAAGAGGTGGAAAGGTTTAAGCTGGAAATAGGAACTCAGGGTTGCGGGTGGGTTTGGGCTGCTGAGGAGGCCAGGGTGGAGGGGAAGATGAGTGTCTCTGGAAATAATTGCTTGGGTACTATTAAGAAGAAGAGTCCGCTGCTATTAAGCACTGTCTGTGTGCCTAGCACTTTAAATGTATGACCTGTACTTACAAGTACCCTGCAGAAGAAACAGTATCCCCATTTTACGGCTAGGGAAAGGCAGGCCTTGGAAACTTGAATGATGTCGCTTAGTTCTCACAGTTTATTAATAAAGGAGGCTAGATACTATACTGATTTGAAAGACCAGCCTTTGGACACAGACTAGGCATGGAATTCTGGCAGTGTCACATGAACAAGTTTCTTACTGTCTCTGGACCAACTTCATTCCCTTCAACTGTAAAATGTGCCATTTTCACATACTTCCTAAGGGAATGATGAAATTTAACAGAGAAATTCTTAACGCAGTGCTTGGCACATAGAGGGTTTTTAGTAAATGCATTAGTTACTTTTATCAGTATTAATATTATCACTATGTTGTTATTCTTGTTGAAGGGGAGATACCAGGTTGGACCACAGTCCTTACTGTGGTACACCTGTCACCACCTGTCACAGAGAGATCAGCTTCCAACCTGCGGGCTTAGATTTGAAGTCTTAAACCACAGTGCCTATGGTGGGCCAGGACTTGCCTCTGTCAGACACATAGGGCCGGACCAGATAAATGAAGTGAGAGAAATGAAGGGTCACAGTTGCTATTGACTTAATAGGCAGATTTGCTGGAGTCCATTGGAAAGCCTAATTAATTGCCATTCTGGAAAGTTGTTGTAACCTACCAGTGAGTTCCAGAAAGCAGCTTAGGAGACAGGAATACTGGAGATGAGATCCAAATAATCATCTGTGTGACTTTTGTTCCTAGGTTTTTCTGAAATATATTCTTGACTATCCCCTGGGTGACAAATTGAGACCAAACTTGGAATTCATGCTCGCTCAACTGAAGTAAGCTTATGCTATTAACTATACAGGGGCGGAGGTTAGTTTCTTCGTTCTTTTTAACATGGCAGCTATCTTAAAAAGGACCAGAGCCTAAGCATAATGGCACATTCTCTGAGCATACTGCTATATGACTCATTGACTCGATAATCAGACATTGTGCTTGGCTTCATATAGCGGTTCTCTGAGTTGCTTTTCAATCTAGTTTAACCATTGATTGTCTAAGAGTCCTCTTAGGAGAATGTTGAAATCTGACAAAATTACATTTAAAGCTGCACAGTGGTAGCTTAATTGATATATACAAGCATTAAAATTAGGGAAACAGCATTTTTTTTCTTTTCTTTCTTTTTTCTTTCTTTTTTTTTTTTTTTTTTGAGACGGAGTTTCACTCTTGTTACCCAGGCCGGAGTGCAATGGCACGATCTCGGCTCACCGCAACCTCCGTCTCCTGGGTTCAGGCAATTCTCCTGCCTCAGCCTCCTGAGTCGCTGGGATTACAGGCATGTACCACCATGCCCAGCTAATTTTTTGTATTTTTAGTAGAGACGGGGTTTCACCATGTTGACCAGGATGGTCTCGATCTCTTGACCTCGTGATCCACCCGCCTCGGCCCCCCACAGTGCTGGGATTACAGGCTTGAGCCACCGCGCCAGGCCCGGTTTTTTTTACCTGTAGCCTTTTTTGAGATGGAGTCTTGCTCTGTCACCCAGGCTGGAGTGCAGTGGCGTAATCTCAGCTTACTGCAACCTCCGCCTCCCGGGTTCAAACGATTCTCAGAGCCTCAGCCTCCCAATTAGCTGGGGCTACAGGTGCACGCCACCACACCTGGCTAATTTTTTGTATTTTTAGTAGAGATGGGGTTCACCATGTTGGCCAGGATGGTCTTGATCTTCTGACCTCGTGATCTATCCACCTTGGCCTCCCAGAGTGCTGAGATTACAGGCCTGAGCCACTGTGCCCAGACTTCATTTTTTTAAGAAGTCAATTGACACTTTGATACAAGTTTAAATTTTAAATAATTATTGGTAAATGTAGAAGATACTAACAAATTCACCTAATATCCTTGCCCTAGTTATGAACACGAGACCGGGAGAGAGTCCACCTTGGAGATGATCGCCTATCTCTTTGACATGTTCCCTCAGGTACTGTGACCCCAAAGATAAGCCCCAGCACCCCTGGAAGTCCTCGGAGCATCTGTAGAAACTCCATTCTGAGTGCTCACAAGTGCCTCTTCTGTTTTAGGGGCTGCTCCATGAGAACTGCGGAATGTTCTTTATCCCTCTTTGTCTAATGACAGTCAATGATGACTCTGCCACGTGCAAAAAGATGGCATCCATGACAATCAAGTCCCTACTTAGTAAAATCAGCCTCGAGAAAAAAGATTGGCTGTTTGACATGGTTACCACTTGGTTTGGAGCAAAAAAGGTTTGCATTGCTTTTAGTCACAGTTCAGTGACAAGTCTTAGCTTTGAGGGTTCATAGTTTAAGTAAGAACATATGTTAAACACTGTTGAATTGTTTTTTTCCCCGAATAGTGTTATTTCTGTCTGATAATGCAAATAGTGTATTCTTAAAGTTTCCCAAAGTGTAAGAAGTTATAAAAAGTAATATAAAAATCACCTGTATTTCTACTGCATTATTGTTAGGAAAGTATTCCACAATGTGAATGTATCATAATTTACGTAACCAGCTCCTAATGATGAATACTTTTGTTTCCAATTTTGCATATTCGATTTCTAAAATGTAGCTTTTATCCACTTGGTGCCTCTGCCACCATCACCATTGGCCTATCTTTGTGAAACATAAACAACATATGCCCTGTGTTCATGAGTAACGTGTTGCATACCCACTTAATGGGGGGTGGGCTTGAGACTTCTTCCCATTTCCTTTTAATTTAAAATGGAAAAAAAATATTAAAGTGCTCAGTAGGTAATAGTAATCCCACTTTTTAAAACATTGTCCTTGAGTATAAAGATTTCCCCGCATTTTTTATATTGGCCAGCAGAGCTCCATCATTTACTGACTTCCGGCATCAGAAAGAAATGTTTATTGTCTCTGAATGTTGAGGACAAAATAATGGCTACCTTAATTTTACAGTTTCGGAAAAGGCCTCCCAAGTTCTCTTGACATTGTCTTGTGGTTTATATTTGGTAGCGCTTAAATAGACAGCTTGCTGCCCTGATCTGTGGCTTGTTTGTGGAAAGTGAAGGAGTTGATTTTGAGAAAAGACTTGGAACTGTCCTTCCTACGATTGAAAAGGAAATTGATCCTGAACACTTTAAAGATGTAAGTAATTTGCTAGGGAATAAAACTTTTCTAACTTATAGTTTTACTTGAGGTGATGTAGCTAACAGATTAGATATTAGCTTATAGGTCAAATATTTATATTTATGTCTATATCTATTTATAGTTAATTGATTAAATATTTGTGTTCAAAAAATAACCTTTATCATAAAAGCAAAAAGTCAGTGTAGTTGGAACTTTTTAAAATTAGAGTTATAGCCAAGCATGATAGTGCATGCCTGTAGTTCTGCCTCGTTAGGAGGCTGAAGCAGGAGGATCATGCCACTATACTCCAGCCTGGCTAATGGAGCAAGACCGTGACTCAAAAAAAAGGAGGGGGTGGGAGGATTAAAGTTAAAGTAAGTTATCTTCACGGTATATGAAGATCAAAGGTTCCCAACACGGGTGATTTTGCTCCCCCACCGCCTACCCCCCCGGGCGACATTTGGCAATGTCTGGAAACATTTTTGGTTGTCACAACTGGAGGGTGGAGGTGCTACTGGCATCTAGAGCACAGACAGGCAGAGATGCTAGTAACATCCTACAGTGCGCATGGCAGCCCCCACAGCAAAGGATCGTCAGGCCCACAGTGTCAGGAGTGCAGGTTCAGAAACGGGTGGATTTACATGCTGGAGTAAAAATGTCCATCAGATACTTTCATATTGTTGTGTTCATTGACTTACATCTATCTTGTTTTTAGATCATGGAAGAAACTGAAGAAAAAGCTGCCGATCGCCTTCTGTTTAGTTTTCTTACACTGATAACTAAACTTATCAAGGAATGTAATATTATTCACTTTACTAGACCTGCTGAGACTTTGAGTAAAATCTGGAGTAAGTATTTTTTTCAAATTTTACTTTAAGTTCTGGGGCACATGTGCTGATCTTGCAGGATTGTTACATAGGTACACACATGACATGGTGGTTTGCTGCCTCCATCCCCCCATCACGTACATTAGGTATTTCTCCTAATGTTATCCCTCCCCAATCTCCCCACCCCCTGCTGTCCCTCCCCTAGCCTCCCACTCCCCAGCAGACCCCAGTGTGTGATGTGCCCCTTCCTGTGTCCATGTGCTCTCATTGTTCAGCACCCACTTATGAGTAAGAATATGCGGTGTTTGGTTTTCTGTTCTTGTGTCAGTTTGCTGAGAATGATGGTTTCCAGATTCATCCACATCCCTGCAAAGAACATGAACTCCTCCTTTTTCATGGCTGCATAGTATTCCATGGTGTATATGTGCCATATTCTTTTTATCCAGTCTATCATTGATGGGCATTTGTGTTGGTTCCAAGTCTTTGTTATTGTAAACAGTGCCACAATGAACATGTGTCTTTATAATAGATTGATTTATAATCCTTTGGGTATATACCCAGTAATGAGATGGCTGGGTCAAATGGCATTTCTATTTCTAGATCCTTGAGGAATCGCCACACTGTCTTCCACAATGGTTGAACTAATTTATACTCCCACCAACAGTGTAAAAGCGTTCCTATTTCTCCACATCCTCTCTAGCATCTGTTGTCTCCAGATTTTTTAATGATTGTCATTCTAACTGGCATGAGAGCTCATTGTGGTTTTGATTTGCATTTCTCTAATGACCAGTGATGGCAAGAACTTTTTCAAATGTTTGTTGGCCACATAAATATCTTCTTTTGAAAAGTGTTTTTTCATCTTTTGCCCACTTTTTGATGCGGTTATTTTTTTCTTGTATATTTGTTTTAGTTCTTTGTAGATTCTGGATATTAGCTCTTTGTCAGATGGGTAGATTGCAAAAATTTTTCCCTATTCTGTTGGTTGCCGGTTCACTCTAATGACTGTTTCTTTTGCTGTATAGAAGCTCTTAAGTTTAATTAGATCCCATTTGTCTATTTTGGCTTTTGTTGTCATTGCTTTTGGTGTTTTAGCCACGAAGTCCTTGCCTATGCCTATGTCCTGAATAGTATTGCCTAGATTTTCTTCTACGGTTTTTATGGTGTTAGGTCTTACATTTAAATCTTTAATCCATCTGGAATTAATTTTTGTTTAAGGTGTAAGGAAGGGGTCTAGTTTCAGTTTTCTGCACATGGCTAGCCAGTTTTCCCAACACCATTATTAAACAGGAAATCCTTTCCCCATTGCTTGTTTTTGTCCTGTTTGTCAAAGACCAAATGGTTGTAGATGTGTGTGCATTACTTCCGAGGCCTCTGTTCTGTTCCACTGGTCTATATCTCTGTTTTGGTACTGGTACCGTGCTGTTTTGATTGCTGTAGCCTTGCAGTATATTTTGAAGTCAGGTAGCGTGATACCTCCAGCTTTCTTCTTTTTGCTTAGGATTGTCTTGGCTATGCTGGCTCTCTTTTGGTTCCATATGAAGTTTAAGGTGGTTTTTTCCAGTTCTGTGAAGAAAGTCAATGGTAGTTTGATGGGGATACCATTGAATTTACAAATTACTTTGGGCAATGTGGCCATTTTCACGATATTGATTCTTCATAACCATGAACATGGAATACTTTTCCATCTGTTTGTGTCCTCTCTTACTTCCTTGAGCAGTGGTTTATAGTTCTTCATGAAGATATCCATGATGAACATCGATGTAAAAATCTTCAATAAAGTACTGGCAAACTGAATGCAACAGCACATCAAAAAGCTTATCCATCATGATCAAGTAGGCTTCATCCTGGGGGTGCAAGGCTGGTTCAACATACACAAATCTATAAACGTAATCCATCACATAAACAGAACCAAAAACAAAAACCACATGATTATCTCAATAGATGCAGAGAAGGCCTTCGACAAAATTCAACAGCCCTTTATGCTAAAAACTCTTAATAAACTAGGTATCAATGGAACATATCTCAAAATAATAAAAGCTATTTATGACAGACCCACAGCCAGTATCATACTGAATGAGCAAAAACTGGAAGCATTCCCTTTGCAAACTGGCACTAGACAAGGGTACCCCCTCTCACCATTCCTATTCAACGTAGTATTGGAACTTCTAGCCAGAGCAATCAGGCAAGAAAAAGAAATAAAGGGTATTCATTTAGGAAAAGAGGAAGTCAAATTGTCTCTGTTTGTAGACATCGTGATTGTATATTTAGAAGACCCCATTGTCTCAGCCCAAAATCTCCTTAAGATGATAAGCAACTTTGGCAAAGTCTCCGGATATAAAATCAATGTGCAAAAATGACGAGCATTCCTATACACCAATAACAGACAAACAGAGAGCCAAATCATGAGCAAACTCCCATTCACGATTGCTGCAAAGAGAATAGAATACCTAGGAATACAGCTAACAAAGGACGTGAAGAACCTCTTTTTTATTTAAATCTAAAAACAAACATATTTGTTGTCATAGAATTACTGAAAGTAGATTTGAGAAATTCAAATAGGAATACTTCAGAAAGTATACAATGTCAGGAAAAGAGTCCATGAGAAAAAAACTTAAAAGGTTCTACCAGAATGATTACAGTAAAAATGTTCCCTTCTGAGAAAAAAATCATGTTTATGATTTCATAAGTAATACCTTTCATTTATAAAAGAAAGAATATTAATTCTGGAGAAATAAAAGGAAGGGAAAAATTCTGAAAGTCCTACTTAATAATTTCACATATGTGCCTCTTTTTTTCTATTGATTTTCCCCCAGGTACAATTGATAGGTAAAAACTGTGTATACTTATGGTCTACAATGTGTTGTTTTGATGTATGTACATGTGGTCTAGTCTTTCTTTTTGTTAAATAGGCTTTTTTTGAGACGTTGCTTAGTTCCATATAAACTTTGATATACTGTTTGTACCTAAGTAAGCGTATTACTATCTATAACACACCTCGTAGATATCCTTTGGAATAGCTATATAGTAGTCCATTTTATATATATACGCCATTATGTACTAAATGATTTCGCAATCTGTCATACAATCGTGCATCACTTAACAAGAGATACATTCTGAGAAATACATTGTTATGCGATTTTGTTGTTTGAACTTCATAAGAGTATACTTAGACAAATCTAGATGGTATAGCCTATTACACACCTAAACTATATGGTTCAGCCTATTGTTAAAAACCTGTACAGCATGTACTGTACTTAATAGGCATTTATAACACAGTGGTATTTGTGTATCTAAACGTAGCCAAACATAGAAAGGGTACAGTAAAAATACAGTGTGTGTGTGTGTGTGTGTGTGTGTGTGTGTGTGTGTGTGTGTGT